CGATACGCCGAACATTTTGGCTCGCAGTTTTGTTGGCCCCCAGCTCCATCTGCTACCCCTGGCGCTCGCACTGGTGCCGAGTGGTCGACTCCCACAGATCCTCCATCTTAGCAGGAAATCGAGCAGGAGCTCCGCCACATGAAGCGTCATAAAGCCCCCGGCCCTGATGGTCTTCCTCCAGCTCTAGTTTAAGATGATGGCGTTTCGCTGGTTCGAGAACTCAATGCTTTGTTCTCGAAAATTTGGTCGAAAGAGAAAGTTCCATCAACTCGGGGTGAATCGATAGTCGTCCCTATCTTAAAAAGGGGTCGGAGCACAATCTGCTCCAACTAGAGGCATAAGCTTAGTCCACGTCGTTTGCAAGCTGCTGGTGTCTATCATACTTCGCAGGGTATCCCCAACGCACGAAACGTTGCAACGAGAAGAACAAGCTGGGTTTCGCCCTGGTCGCGGCTACATCGATCAAATCTTCACACTCCGAAACATCCTCGAGCTCCGCCATGTGTATCACAGGCCAACGATCGATGTGTTCTTGGATATGCGTGCAGCCTTCGATTCCGTAGATCGTACGGTACTGTGGCACTGCCTACTGAGGAATAGTGTTCCCGAGAAGTTCGTCTCCATACTGCGCGCTCTCTATGGTCTGACCTCGGGCAGGGTTAGTGCTTATGGCAAACTTCTGCCTGCCTTTGTGGTCTCCAGTGGAGTTCGACAACGATGCTCTATCTCTCTGTTCCTATTCAATTTTGCCATTGAGGATGTTCTGAAGAACGCTCTGGGCGATTTGTTGAACGCTGGCGTTGAGCTCTTCCCAGGTAGTCGAGTCGTTGATTTGGATTATGCTGATGATATCGTCTTGTTGGGTGACGATCCACACGTCGTCCAACTTGCATTAAACCGCTTGGCGATTGAAGCATCAAAGTACGGTATGTACGTTTTGCCATCTAAATGCAAGGCTCTCTTTCAAGACTGGCAGGTGCCTATGCCTGCACTCACTCTTGGTGGTGAGGCACTGGAGGTTGTGGAGAGCTTTGTCTACTTGGGAAGTTGCATCACTGCTGGCTGGGCTGTTGGAGACGAGATTTCGATGCGCATCTCGAGAGCACGCGTCGTTTTTTCTAGGCTGAGGCATTTGTAGCGTCGCCACGACATTCGTCTCTCCATCAAAGGGCGGATCTGTTGTGCAACTGTTCGTGCTGTAGTGTTGCACGGATGCGAGACCTGGCCCATTCGTAAGGATGACTTACGCAGGCTATACGTCTTCGAGCACCGCTGTCTGCGTCCATTGCCCGTGTGTGGTGGCCGCACCGCGTAAGCAATTTGGAAGTTAGACAGCGTGTCTTGGGACGTGGAAGCCACTCGCTCGAGGAGCTCGTCTCACTGCATCAACTGCGGTGGTTAAGACACGTATTGCGCATGCCTGTCCAGCGTTACCCGCGTCGTGCGTTGTTTGCACTTGCTGGACAGGGCTGGAAGAGACGGTCTGGTGGACAGTCTACAACATGGAGAAGCCGCATGAAAAGGTTGACGAAACAGTTGGCCTCGGCCGGTTGTTGTCGACTACCTGGTTGGGGTCCGAGAGATGATACTTGCTGGTTGAAGACCTTGGAAGTTATGGCTCAAGATCGATGTCAATGGCGGATGTGTGCATCGGATTGTTGCGGTGTTCGTTCTTCCTAACCCCCCAAAAAGAACAAACTGGAAAAAAAGTTCAAAAACTGTGTGGTAAAATAGACAAAAAAAGCATTTGTGGTTGCTTTTTTCTTATTATTCATATTGTTTTCCTATTCAGCCATGATTACGATGGCACAATAGCTGTACCACAGATTGTGTATTATATATATATATATATATATATATATATATATATATATATATATATATATATATATATATATAGCATTTTAGCTATTGGTTATAGGAAACATCAGTGAAATCCGGTTTCCGAACATGGAGTATTTTTTCGGTACATTTATCGATTAATTGAGGATCCATCGCAGCCAGTTCCAAATCAGATAGTCGTGCACATGCCCGGAAAAGCAGTAGACTGCAGTTTCAGCCTATTGGACATCATCAGTAGTACCCATCCATCAGATCCATCAGGATTTGAACTAATGACCACCAACGGCTTGAACCGCTAGTCAGCGGCTTATGCCACCGGGTCACGAAAGACAGCATCGGACGGCCATAAGTTGCAAGCTAATTGCGAGATATCGCGTCACCCACTGTCATGCAAGTTACGAACGTTGCAGAAGACCGGGCTGGCCCCGAAAGACACGACGTCCACTGACAGCAGCGATGTACGACATAGCGTTTAGAAACTGTCAGGGCGGATATATTTGATGCACTCATGAGTAGGGTATTATTGATGATGCCCAACAAGCTGAAACGCAGTTTAGTGCTTTTCCGGCCATGTGGACGACTATCTGCTTTGGAACTGGCTGCGATGAACCCTCAAGTAACTATATCAAAATCCCCTACTCATGAGTACATCACATATATCGATTGCCAAGAATGAGCACGCAACACTGATTGACAAGGGACACGATTCGAGTGGCCGACTAAATAGGTAACACTGATTATGTCAACTGAGGCGTTGCCGTTGCACTAGCTTTCGGTCGGCAGACTCGCATAATGATGGCAGATGCTTTGTCTTCGGCCACAATCGTTAGCTGGAAAAGATAAACCTCCACATCGACAGGCTGCGAAAGACTTTCCAGACGATCTCTCTGAGGTAATACGTGAAGATCGGTCTTTCGGACAACGTAAGCCAGAGGGGAAGGCGGCACAAAATGGTTGGTCAATTTTCCCCTTATCCGTACAACGCTGCAGACTTCCTTTAAGCTCATTGCTGCGTCAATCATCAATGAGAGCTCCTAGCAAGACTAACCCCAATGCGAACATCAGTAAATACTTGTCCAGCTTAGCGTCTGAAAGTCACCCACACTGGATTGTTTTGTCAGGCTCTGTCATTGAAGTCATTAGCGCTCTACCTTCATATTTATGGCACAACGCCGAGAATAAATTGCTTGTGAACGACCGCGCTACCTGAGCATTTTATGTGACCAAACGATTCCAGACTCTGCTCCCATTACGAGTAGGCGGGCCAAAAGGTACATCCGTGGTTGCTCAAATGTTTGCCACCCAGCTGGTTAAAATCAACTGTAGACTCAGCAACGAAGAATACCGAAGGCTAATCCAAGGATAAAAGATCACAGCCTGTGGTGCAGAACAGGGTAGAGAATGTGAAGTGGCTATCCACAAGTTTCTCAAAGTCCGAGCTAGAGGACATCACAACCAACAGCCCAAAGTTGTCCAACGAGTCAGACTGCTAAGAGGTAACTTTGCTTGTAAGAAATACAACGTGGGCCGATCATGGGCTCGGTTTACGGTAGGTGGATTCCACAGATTACTCACCATATGAAGTGCACGATTAGGAAAATCTAAAAAATGGGGATGTAAATGAACGGTTTCAGGATTCACTTGATACGTTGAGGAACACAAAGCCATTGCAATCAGCTTATCGGTCTTTTAGATAGCACTGGCGCAAGGGTGATCCACACGAATTGACGATCATGCCCTAAGCATGCGAATGACGCTACCAAAGCACATCTCAGATGAGCATCACGTGTCTCAGGAACCGGTTGACATGCGGACGTGACATTGTGACGATGACTGCACAGACGCAACGAATGATTGCGTATTGATCAGAATGTGAGAACTGCACTATAGAATAGGTCAATAATCCAAAAAGTACACGTGATGAGGAGATGCGTGCTCCAGAACATTGGAACGAATCAGGGCGCACACACACTCGACAAAATGTATTCGGATGGAGTGGTGGCGTAAAAAGCGCCCCGGATACAAACGCATTTCAGTTTGTGACAATGGAATGCGTGGGTGTCAGGTTGTCACCGTGAGAGGTGAGATGAACCGCACAATTGACAAGCGCTGAAAATGCATGCGGCTCGAAGTGTGGGTGATGGTGTTGGGTTGCAGACCTTCCGCTACTGGGCCAGACGACAGCATCAGTGCAGCTTCCCTGACCTACGATCGACGCAAAAGCTGAAAGGTGAGCCATTCATTGGAAGAAGGAGTACCAACCGCGTTACAACACACAGTGAACATTCAGTGCATTTGTCGTGCAGTTAAAGAAATTGGTTTCAAATCGGTGGTTAGCATAATCCTAGCAAAAGTTGGAATAATCTCCAGGGTACTGCAGTTCCCATTTGTTTCCACGCAAATCACCTAATCAATCGGCGACTAAGCCCTGTCAAGGTGACTGCAAGGATGACAACATGTAGCACAATATTGGGAAGCCCATTTTCCGTGCCGGCCAGTAGCATAAAGTTAACGAGTTTGTCTCATAATCTGACGGCGCGGGTTCCAGCGTGCGTAGGGGCAGGATGACACTCGCAGTATCCTTAGTCGACGTGCGACCGGTGGTAGTTGCGTGGCAGCGAAGCGTCAGTATTGCGTACAGGTGTACTGCTGAGGCCTTCCTTCTCTGTGCATATCACAGGTTAGTAAAAGATTACCAATGGATGAACGAATTCAGACTTCGATACGGTGGGACACCATGGAATGAAGAATAGGGAGTGAATGGTGTCATTCGTTTGCAAAATCGCGTTTCTAGACAGAGTAACCATTTGTTTGCAGGTGGTCGACGTGCAACCACAATGTGAACAGACCTGGCAGCTCCATCAGTACGTGGTGAACCGCGTGAGGACTCAATCTACTTGGCATAAAGAGTAAGATGTGCAACGGTGAGTAGCAACTTATCGATGCGCAACGTTAGGTATGCACCCTTAAACAATGCTCACCAGATGCGAAAGAAGATCGGGTTCGATCAATTTCAACTGGGACGCAATAGTCAGGGACCTAAACGTCAATCTAGTGATTGACGTGGCCATGTAGCACAACCAACAGCAGAAGCCACCATGATGTTGTACAAAAAGAGTAGCGATGTAAAAAGAGTTGTAAAGAGAAAGAGAACTCACTCCAAGTACTGGACTTTATTCTCCTCCGTGACAGGGATATTTTTCCCATCCGGTTTCAGTTCGTGTGTCTTCACCTCACCCAGTATCTCGTAGTCAACCGAAAAGACTAAATCCATTTCGGCTTCATCAAGATTGCATTCTCTATTCACAAAATAGGGTGGGCAAACACAATAAATATCGAAGAGAAGGGAAAAAGCAGAACAAAACAGACGAAAAATAGTTGAAACGCGTAGTGCGCAAAGTAAATTTAATAATGAAACTATGAAGAATAAAGAAGAGTCTGCATAACTAACATGCCGTTCGGAGAGAATCACAAAACGGGGGTTTAATAAAGCATCAGCAGTAAGCTCCTACATCGTACCGACGATTCTCTGGCACGCTACCACCAACAGTTGGGTACAGGCCAGGGATAGCGCAAGCACGCCCATATGTGCACAAGCTAGACTCAGCGACCTGTCGATTATTAGCTAGATGCCTGATCTATTCGATCAGTGCCCGGTGAATTTAATGACTGAAATACTGGACAATGGCAAACCGATGGATTTCGCCGGACCATACACACAGCCTTAGGAAGACCCTGGAAAAGGAGAAGACGATTTTGTTGAGGTTTTCATCCCAGTAGTTCACAAGCTACATAGCACAGACTAGTCCGGAAAAGCACCAGACGCGTTTCGCCCTATTGGGGCTCGTCAGTGGTGCGCATTCCCTCGGTCCTCTAAAGAGGATCGAACCCATGACCGCTAGGCAGATGCCAACCAGCCAGCAGCTTAAGCCACTGAGCCATGGGGGACGTTGGCTGGGCTATATAATTTGCAAACTAGCTGGGATATAGCACCACCTATCTACCACTGTCATTGACAGTGGTTAGCCTGCAAGGTGATGACGTCCTCTCACTAGACGCTATATCTATAGCATTTGGAAACTAGGAGAGGCTATTCATTTTATATTAATTGTAAGTAGCAGGATTTTAGTTGTAATTTTGTTTTCATTCCAGTAGTTCAAAAGCTACATAGCACAGCATAATCTGGAAAAGCACTAGACGCGTTTCGCCCTATTGGGACTCGTCAGCGGTGCGCATTCCCTCTGTCCTCTAAGGAGGATAGAACCCATTACCGCTAGGGGCACATGCCAACTAGCCAGCAGCTTAGGCCACTGGAGACGTTGGTTAAGCTACATAATTTGCAAACTAACTGGGATATAGCACCACCTACCATCCAATGTCACTGACAGGTCTCCTGCTACCAATTTCAGGTATCAAAATAACTTACGAAGGTTACCAACGACAGCGACTCTTTTCATCTCCGACGCACTATCAGACCACCAAACTTCTCCATCTATCTTAAGGCTAGTATACAGTTTCGCCATGATGTTTTCATGAGTCTCGTCGTGTTTGCTTCCAGTTGGAATGTGCCGGCAAGCATCCCGAAGTTCCAGAGACTGCGTAGAGACCCAATGTCCAGGTTGGCTATTAGTCTTAACACATGAGGATTTGCTTGCTGCTAATATGGTCTGAAGAATATGTGACCGGTGACCTTCAACTGTATTCGATGAGCGCTCACGTAACCCGAATGCTAGCGTACTTAGATACACATTCAGAATACCTGGCTTTGCCAGTGTCTGGTGTCTATGTGATATAAACCAGGTACGTCACCTTTGAATGGTGCAGGCTGTCCATATGAGGAGCACCCAAAGTGGTTGAGTGCCAGGCTCCAGCAGTACACTAGCACTCCGTACCGGCAACTCGCAATTATGCAACCGCAAGTGATTGCACAGCAGCTGGGAGACAAGACCTGTGCTGGAACGGAGACTGGAACAAGCGGAACTGAGTAGGACAAAGGTCAATATGAAATCCTACAACGATTCGCGGCAATCATATGCAGGATAATTAGTTAAAAATACACTGCGCGTTGTAAAGCTAGATGTAACTATCCAACAATGGTTTGGTCCGAAAATGAGCATAAGAACACAGTACACGACCTATAGGGCTACAGCAAGATCTATGTCAGTCAACGTTCTTTAGAAAATGCGCCAGTTAAGGAGGGTGCTGAGGTAGTCTGCAAAGCACGGACATTTGTAAGGATAGGTGTGGGGAGAAGAGTATCCCGACCAACCAATCATGGTCACAGTCGCAACGAATATGCCAAACCTGATCGTGCGGCGACAAAATTGCTGGCCTTAATTCCAGTTTGTCGCCATACTGCAGGACAAGGATCTCGGTTGAAGGAAGAGAACTCTGGTTTCTGTTCAGGACGTGGTTGTATGGACCACATATTCATTCCACGGCAAGTGCTAGAACGGCGTCACAAATACCGCCAACAGACTACACCCGAGTTCCCCGAGTTTAAGAGCGTGTTTGACTCTACCGTCGATCCATTTTGTTCGAAATACTTGGGCGGAAAGGTGTTCCCATGAAATATTTGAAAACGTTACGTGTCCTTACTTGAAAACCACAGTCTATCTCAGGATCTACGGCACATCAACGATGCTCTCACCGAGAACAGTTAGTGTATACCAGCATTGTTCTATTTCCCCATGTTTGTTCAACTTCGTCGTGGACTTCCCCACAGTGTGTTCCATTGCGCCCTACATATGCCTCGTCGCCGCTTATCGAGAAAGGCCTTGTTTTATCTGCCAAATGTAGGATGGTGCAGGGCTCGAGGTGCGCAAAATTTGATTTGGCAGCGGGAAATTCGGTGCCGTCGGTACGTCTCGCCTTCCGGGCTGGAGTACATTTGACCCACCTTGTGACTGACTCGAGACTTTACAGGACATGGCTGACAGTCGACACCATTAGCGCCTCTGCTGCCGTCTTCCAGTCAGACTGATTGTTTAAAGTGCGTTTTGCGCTGAGTTAACTGCGCGTTAATGGCTGATTATGACGCGGAGAAGTGAATACCGCAAGGAAGCTGTCCAGCCGATAGCCAGCTTTTTGTGGCAGCACGCTGTTGACAAGACGCAGACACATGTGCTCTGAATTTTTGCTTAAGGCATTTAGGTTAGGTTCCCGTTCTCTCCCTCTTCTTATTTTTCGTTCTGTAAGCCACCGAGGTTGTAGGGGAGCGAAGCATCAGTTCAGATGGCTGATGTACTGCTGGTGATGATGATGGTCGTGGTGTTGATGATATTAACGAAGAGGGGAGAATGAGGCCGCAGAAGCGATGGTTGTGCAAAAACTTAACAAGGTGTGATCGGTACAGCCGAAATGAGGTGGGATCAATAGCGAGGAAAATGACATGGTGCAAGACTTAGGTTTGTGCGCACAATGAACTGAGTGGCTTCCGTATATATACTCCGGAAGAGCTGTAAACTACACAAACAATAGAGGATAGTACACCATATTGTTTAGAAGCATTGCAGGAGACTAAATTAGAAGTATGTCGGTAATGGGCCAAACGATTGAAAGCACAAATTTTCTCTGATGGACTCACTGGATGTACTTTAAGGAGGAATAATAAATGACATCAAGGGACTCTATGTCTTCCAGCGTAATTTTCTTTTTCAGCATGCGCTTGTAGAACGGTAAAGTGAAGCCACTATCGATAAATTTGCCATGGAACAGGGCGAGGGCAATGAAGCGGCCGACAAACCTGCGTGGGTAGTGGAATGAGTGCAAGATGATCACGGTTAATCGGTGTGGGGACAATGCAGCAAAGATAAGGATGTCATTTATTGATTCTAGATCACATGCTGGTCTACTGCACCAGATCAACCGAGAACAGATGAAACAGGCGTAATATGGGTGACAACGTTCACGAGGCTTCAAACCTAGAAACGAAAGAGGTGGACGCCGCGTCTATTCGATTCGAGTGGAAGGTGGTTCACGCCAATGGATCCAGGGTCGACTGCATACATGAAGATGGCTAGCGATGGTGAGATGACAATGGTGATGTGGAGTACTGATCGAAGTGCACAGTTCAGTGACAAAAAGACATTTCTCTGCATGCTTCGCAAGGCGCTTGGCGTGTGGAAGCTGGGAGGTAAGTACACGTTGGTAGAAGGTCCCGTCAACGATATGGGCTGAAGGTCTTGGCCCTCCACATTATGCCAACGAGTAAGACGTATGAGAAGCGAAAAATCACTTGGAACGCTAAAGGTCTAGCGACCAGCCACAACAACGCGAGAACGGGCAAAAGAAAGAAGAAAAGTGGGGATCAAAAGTAACTTACTGGTTCTATGTTTATGTATGGTCGTCTATATTATATCGTCGCAATCATATGTACAGATAGTTTTTGTCTACATTATAAGTTATTGTTGCTCGCCCAGAACTGTCGGACTGAAAGTAAGAGCGAGCTACAACGTTGCAGTTCGAGAACCCCAGGAGGTCGCTAAAGAGGACTAATGATCACGAGGCCACAGTGGAAACAGTTAAAGAATCGTGTAAGAATCGTCCCAAACTGAAGTGCGCCAAGAAGACACGGGGAGTGGTCCATAACACTTGCACTCTGATCGCGTGTCGCTAGTGACAAAGGCTAGCGGTGAACGTTCGTGTCAGCAAATCGTCGGTGTTGTGTCAGATTCAATGAGCCAGGAGGTGGACAGTTAGTTTGAGTGGCAGCGTAGGAGACGCTTAAAGCTCCGAATTTCGAAAGCGCAATAACAAACTAGTAGTGAAACCAGACAACACAGAGGACACAACACTCCGGCTATCCAGGATTGGTGCCAATGATTCGTCCTTTCTTAGTTTCCGCGCTCGATCAAGTGTCAGTATTCAAGAATTGACACAATTTATTGCGCCCAAAGGCGCACAAACAGCGTTATCCATGAGCACCCATTGGCCGTCCCTCAGGTGGGTTGATCGAACCCAACCTTCAGAAGTAAAGGAACCCATTCGATTGTGGTCGCACTGCCGCTGGATCAATCGATGCAGAATGAGTAACTGGCCATATGTCTGCAAACTTTCTTTGGTTGATCTGTAACAATCACAGTACACAACCCCGTGTTATTAGCGGACATTTATCGTGGGACTAAGAAAACAACAACCACATATTTGACTCGTGAAGTAACGTCGAAGAAGGATCAGAAGGCAAAACAACAAACCAAAAGTGAAAAAATAAGAGGTACCGCAGACTACAGGGATAGTCACCCGACGGGTGAATGAAAAAAGTGACGGCTAGCCAAAGCACCTTGGAAGTAAATCATACGATGTGTGTTACCAGCCAGAATGACCTCAACGAATCAATTGCACGAATGTGTTTATGTTGTCCACACTGGCAGATTGAAAGCTGCGTGTAAGCTCCTTAAGATTTTAGAGGAATAAAATGAGACTGAGGCAAGCAAACACGAAAATTCTGTGGTGCTGCCGCGTAAGAACCACTCTGTTGCATGATGAGCTATCACAACTGAACAAGGGAATATCAAGCTTAGCATAGAGAAGTAGCAGTAGGGTATCAAGAAAGTAGTTGCTTATAAAAATGAAGGAAGGAATTATTGTTTTGCATAGTAAAATGAGAAAAGTAAGAATGGGTGACGTGGGGTTGTCAAATGTTGTTCGGAAGTCGAAATCATATGTAGCGAATCATCCGCATATCGGAAACACAAAAGCACTAAGCCAATGGACTCGAAGTGAGTGTGAGTGTAGCCCTAATGAGAGCGAACAAAGGTGGGAGAGGTACAACGCCAGATAAAACTGTTCTATGAAGCAAGCAGTTACTGAAGTAGTCAACATTACGGCACCAGGTCATCTCCACTTAGCTGAAGCGATGTTATTGTGGTTTTGAAGGTGAATAAAAAGCACAGCAGACAAAAAGTAGGTTGGTTCTGACAATGGTCCAACCCAATTTGCCATATAAGAGAAGTTCCATGGAAAGTCAAATGCAACAAGAGCTGCCTCCAAGATGAAAATGTGATTGGGCAGCTATCTTCAGCTCAGTTCAACTACAAAGTGCAGTGCATTCAGCCGCGTAGATGCGCAGTGGCACGAGTTAACTTTTCGGTCAAGCAGCAAACCGCTTCACTTGAGAAGAATGCTTAATGCACATGCGCTCCGTGCAACTCTGACACGCCATCGACAAGGAATCACCGAATAAACAAAGTGAATAACATGTATTGTTGCAATACCAGTCTGGTGGAACAGGGAGAGACGTTAGGGTGCCCCAGGTAGGTATTGTTTATGGTGTGGCTTCGTTGTTGTGGATTAATCGGCATAATGGAATTATTTTGTGGACATTCCGGAATCATTCAATTTGACTCCCCAAGCAGCAGTTCCTGGATCATATTTTGTGTGGTATCTTTCAACAGAATTCGTAGTTCGGTTTTGCAAACACTACTATATCATTTTACATCAGTTTTTCATCCTTTCTCAAAATCTCAAAGAAATCAGATTGTGGTTCCTAGTCAAGAAGTGTTGGAAACATGGCAAATGAACTTACTTGCTTTGATTGTTGTGCTAGGTTTCATGTTTTGTGTGTTGGATTACCTGCCGATTCCTATGGTCTTTTGCGTTCCATTCAACATGATTTCATCCAAATTTTCTGCAACGAATGCTGCAGTTTAAGGCAGCCAGATGAACGTATAACCTCTACCGATGCAGATCGCGACCAAAAACTTATAATCGTGAGCAGTTCTAGACTTACCACCCCGCAAACTGGCCTAGAGTCCATCCAATGTTCAACCCAGCCTTCCTCCCGTTCAACTCCATCTGACAACTCATTACCTCACCATCCTAATGTTTTCGGAAACGTGACACCAACTGAGGCTAATGATCCACTGATTTTGAGCTCTGCTAGCTCTAATGACGTAGATGAATGTCCAATGCATGAGGAGCCATGGGAAACGCAACGACAGAAAAAGGCGCGAAATGAAGAGTAGTTTCCTGCTAGTGACCAACAGCAGGCCAGATCAAGCAATGTGCTTCAGCCCACTCTTCTCCCACAGGATTCACATTTGATTTACAAGAGGCGATAAAATCGGATGCATGTTCATCACGCGCCTGAATCCAACAATCCAAGTCATCAGGTACCCTATGAGTATAACATAAAGTTTCTACAGAGCCTGGTTGATAGGCTCCTCAATGTGGATGAGGACGGAGTGAAAGTGAAGCAAGTCATTCGCCCCTCGGCCGGAACACTGCTGAGAAAGACCGCGCTATGCGAGTAACTTTTGCCGAGGAGGTCAGTCCGAAGCTAATACTGTCTCGGCTGCGCAGACTGAGAGGCGCTAGGGTGCATATTCGTCCGGATATCGATCCGACTGAGCGGGATCGTCTAAAGTGTGCCATCCTCGAGCTAAGGCGGCGAAATGATAAAGGAGAAACAAACCTATGTATCATAAATTTTCGGGTAATTACGTGAACTCGGATAAATCGGTCGCAGACTCTTTAGGCACGCCAGGTAGTTCTTACCATGGTCTGCGTGCAGCCTTCATCAAGTCTGCAGTCTTATGAACAAGCGCGATGAGCTGTGCTGTTTCGTTGATTCAAACGACCGGATGTAATGGGACTCGCAGAGACGTGGTTGATCGATGAGGTACTCACCTAGGAATTTGAGCATAGTGGCTACTAGCGCTTCCACTGGAATAGGATATCGAATGCCCACGGTGGCATTTTGCTCTACATCCCGTCTTCCCTGTGTGTGAGACTCGGGAGCGGCCACCGTAGTGAGGATGGCCTATATGAGCAGCTGCGGTGTTCGATTCACCTCAGGTGTGGCGAGCTGCTCGTAGGTGTATTTTATCGCAGTCCGTTGAGCCGCTGTTTGGAATAGCTGCTGCATTTTCAGGACCGCATGAGTCACCGTCGTTTTCTACTCATAGGTGAGTCCAAGTGTCCTCGAATATGCTAGCCTGAAGTCGTACTTAGCACCGGATATTGTGAGGCCGAAGCTAAGTTCGCTGATATGATACCTGAAAGTAGGTCAACGCAACACATCTGCCGACCGACTCGCATAACACTGCGCTCAAATTTATCGTGCTTAGACTTAGTGGTAACCAGTTGTGGACATGTGTATGGCATTTGAATCCTGGGGCCTTTGGCAGCAAGCGACCACTCATTTCTTATTGCCAACGTGGAGCTGCCGCTGTAGAAACCTCACGCACTGCAGCCAGCTCATAACTGCAGGAAAACGGATTTCGACGGCCTGACTCGGGCCGCGAGCCAAATGGACTGATTTCTGCTGCAATCTGCATCCGTTGAGGCATGTTGGTCACTTATATAGAATGGAGTAAATTCATTGTGTGCCTCTCCAGTGGCGGAAAATCGGACAGATCAAGCCACACTGATTTAACAAGGAATATGGTAGGCTGGCTCAGCAATGGCGCAGGCTATGGGCAAATTCTTTATCTATGGATCGGACGACGACTACGAGGTGTATAAAAAGCAGCGAAATATCTGCAACGGTGTGAAAACGATCAAACGCAGGAATTTCGAAGAGGAGGTTGCAATCGTAGCAAAAAACCGCCCTGAAGAGATTTTTGCGCACGTGAGGCGGCGCCTGAGGCTAACAAGTGACCTAACAGTGATAGAAGGCGCGAAACGAACAGCTCCTAACCTCAAGCACTGAGCATGAGTCCGCCTTGGCTGTGCACGTTGCTTCTGTGTTTGCAAATGACGAGGTGTCTGTACAGAGTTCGGAGAGGAAATACTGAAAGATTA